TCATTTTGTTATTGGTTCTTGTGTAAAGGGAAAATAAGAGGTTGTCTGACTTTTCATTATTACTGTTAAGATGTGATTAGAGTTAGCTTTTATTTGTTTATTTGTTATCTTTCTCTCTTACCTATATATATGCTACTATTGTTTCCCCTGCCTTTTCTCTATAAAGTAGTCCTTTTTTTTTTTTTCCTTTTTGGTTGGCCAAAACCTATATTGTGATCTCCCTTGCAATAGATAAAAGCAATCATTTTATTTACTGATACTCTTGTGGCTTGTCATTTGTAGCCAAAAGTTCGGTGAGATAGCCTTTTGTGCAATAACAGCTGATGAGCAAGTAAAAGGTTATGGCACCAGACTGATGAATCACTTGAAACAGTATGCTCGTGATGAGGATGGATTGACACACTTTCTCACATATGCTGATAATAATGCTGTTGGCTATTTTATCAAGCAGGTCTAGTTATTAATATTTAAGATCCTTGTTAGGCGGTATCGTTTTTTTTTTTTTTTTTGGATAAGCCAATTAGGTGATATATTTGATGCTTTTGGACATCATCTTTACTGATTGTTCCTCTTTTGATCAGCCAAAGATGAAAGAGGAATATCTGGACATCATTAGTTGGTATTAGAATTATTAATAATGGGATAACCCCTTTGTTTAAACCCCAACCTTCCATCCTTTATCAGAATTTGTACTATTATGGAACTAAGCCATTGCAAATGGTGTCCCAAATACAGAGGAGGAAAAAATCACCAGGTGTTGGTATCCATCCCTATCCAATTGGTCTAATTTTTAGCATTTGAGAGGACTGTTTTTGGGGAAAAGGGAGCGGGGCATAGGGTTGGCGTGTTTTTGGTTCAGCTAACGGGTGCAATTTTGGATTTGGCATTGATTTTTGTTTATTTTCCTTCAGGGCTTCACCAAAGAGATTCACTTGGAGAAAGATCGATGGCAAGGGTAATTCCCTCCCCCTTCTTGTCTGAAATCTGGCAGCAGTTCTTCCCATGGCTGTTTCTAACGAGAAGTGAAATAATTATTTCTTTTTAACTTTATTTGTCACTTTAATTTGTTGGGGCGTAGAGTTATGAAGCCAAATTGCTAGGGCTTTTTGCTTTTTAATCAAGTTCCTTGTTTGTGAGCAACAAAAAAAGTGATTTCATATTTCACTATCTGGGGCGATCAGCAAAGCTAATTGTCATTTCAGGTATATAAAGGATTATGATGGAGGAATTCTCATGGAATGCAAGATTGATCCAAAGCTCCCATACACTGATTTATCAACTATGATTCGTCGTCAGAGGCAGGTAACGTTGTTCCCATTTGCCAATTTGTTAAGATTTACTTTCATAATGATTTAAATTAATAAGTTTAGATGAGACGTCATCAATTTTCTTTCATTGAAATTTGAGCATATACCTGTCAGTAAAGAATGGAAGTTTTAAACTTTGAAATCATTTCACCTTAGTTTGAACTTTTCTTTCCCATATAATGGATCTCTTTTAATTTTCAAAGGCCTGTTCATTAACACACACAAACACATGGAAAAATGGGTGAGGAGGAAGTTGTCAAATACGATACAACTGAAGAGTCTGGACAAGAAGAGGCCTCAACAAGGTAGACGTGCATCTACTCCCTCCAGGCCGTTGGATGCAAATCCCTGACCCATCTGTGATGAGCATAAAATGAGGCTTGATGACGGGCAGTTGAATTGATATTGGCAATATGATTTTGCTCCCTGGAGCTGGAGGCATATTATAGTCCATGCTTTGATGCCTTTAATTGGTCAATTAGCATGTGAGTGTAATTATAACCAAAGAATTAAAGATGAAGTGTCATTGCATGCATATTTGAGTATATTTTGGTGCACAGTGGAGTGCAGAATTAAAATGAAGAAGGTTGGACAGTCATTAAATTAAGTCTCTTAACCTGATTTAGGGGGGCTGCTTGCATTATTCTCGTTTCTATATAATGTGTAGCATCTGCTGGCCTTATTAATTATCTTCTTTACCACCTGATGTGTGCAGGCTTTTCAGGTATTTTTCTCTCTATCTATTAGAATAATCATTATTGGTTTTACAATTATAGGCTATTGATGAAAAGATAAGAGAGTTGTCAAACTGTCACATTGTTTATCCCGGATTTGATTTTCAGAAGGTATCCAACATTATCTATTCTCTTCTTCCTTTTTATTTATTTATTTATTTATGCTTCCACTCATTCATGATTTGCATTAAAAGGTTTCTCTTTATTATATAAGTTATTGTTTAATTTGGATTGTATTATGAGCTCAAAATAGATTATGTCTGACATGTTTCCAATAGTTCATAATTTGTGCAAGTCTGCCACTTTCCTTGGATATGTGATATAAGTGAGAAAACTACCTGGCATTTCTGCCTAACTTGCATGTGCTTTTCTCTTTTCTTTTCCACATATTACCATTAATGGAGAAACATATGGCTTTTGGAGTACTAATTTTTTATTCCCCCTAATCAACACATCATGCAGAAAGAAGCTGGTATTCCTAAAAAATCGATCAAAGTTGAGGATATCCCTGGTTTGAGTAAGTACCAAATTCCCAATCTCAGTCTATCTTACCAATGTTCTTTAGTTGAGGTGCCTCTGGGTTAAATTATGCATTCCCAATCCCTACTTTGAAACCTATAGTCTTTTTGTTAAAATTTTATCTTTATAAGTATACTGGTCATTGTCTGGTTGTTATAGAGTCTGCATGTGAAGTTGTGTTTCCTGTTATTCATGACATATGAAATTGAGATCTGTTTGTAAACCGAGATGTCAGATTCTGATCCACCATGTTAATTCTGTATTCGGGTGACCCTATGCATGGCACTTAACTTCTTACTAGTTTACTTGGCATCGAGGGGGTGTTATCATCTAACTTTGCTTGTACCAAATACTGGTCATTTTTCTAGTTTATAGAGAGATCCATATAAAGGTCGGTTTTTCCTGTTCCCGTGGACTCAAGCAAGAAAGTATTCTGTTTACTTGTCTAGGAATTCAGGTATTGTTTAGAACTGATTAGATGTTTGCGGTCAATGCAATTCCAGGAGAGGCTGGATGGACTGCTGATCAGTGGGGTCATTCCCGATTTAGAAGTAGTTTATGTGTTTCTACAGACAGCGCTACAAATCAAAAACATTTGACTGCATTTATGCGATCACTTCTAAAGGCAAGTTTGTTGGCTGCTTGATTACCTTGAATTTAAATTTTCTCGTTGATCTTCATCTGCATCTTGGGTATATCAATTTCTCATTTTCCTTTCGATTGTTTCCTTTTTCACCGGATATTATCTCCTTTACAGTCAATGCACGACCATGCTGATGCCTGGCCATTCAGAGAACCAGTTGATGCCCGGGATGTTCCTGATTATTATGACATCATCAAAGATCCAATGGGTGAGAACTACCATATCCATATTGTCTTTCTTTAGTTTTACCTCGTGTTTTTACTTTCTTGAAGCATGGTAACTGCTTCGCTTCAGCTATAACATTAATAATCTACCCGTAAAATCTCTCCTGTGGAACTTTTTTGACATATCAAGCTTGAATTAGTTGTCTATTTTTCTGTTGTTTCTCATATGGTTCACAATATGAGGCTCTCTTTTTAATCTTTGTTGCAAATAGTTTATGTTGAATATAACCTAGAAGGTTAATAGTCATTATAAAGGGTCTCATCTTTAATATACATGTAATGTGGGTGCAGATCTGAAGACAATGTCAAAGAGGGTGGAGTCTGAGCAATATTATGTTACGTTAGAGATGTTCGTTGCAGATGCCACCAGAATGTTCGCCAATGCACGAACCTATAACTCTCCAGAGACGATTTATTATAAATGCGCTGCCAGGCACGATGCTACAGTCAACTGTTCTTATATGCAGAATAATGAAATAAATAAACAGAAATAATTGTTGTTAGATAGTTTATAACGATTGTAGGCTTCGTAGTTGGTTGTGGAGTGGAGTGGAGTTGAGTTGGAGATATCAACTTTGGTTTTTCTGACTTTTCGGTGTATGTGCATTGCAGGCTGGAAGCCCATTTTCGGAGCAAAGTCCAATCTGGTGTACAGTCGGGCACCAAAATTCAGTAGGAACACCTAAATGCGTTTTAACATGGATCCCTCTCCCTCCCCTTCAGTGGCTAAAGGAATTTGAATCTTCTCCATTATTTCTATGTATGTTGTAAAATCTTCTTTAATTTAATTTTTTGTGAAACGTGTTAACTTTTTTGTGCAGTTGAGATTGATTTTATTTTAACATAATAGTAAAAACAATTTCGTTGATATGGACTTCTAAAAACTGTTAAATAACTTTTTTGGAAAGAGGATATAACTATATATTATGTGAATATGATTTTGTTGGAAGAAGAAAATTTAATATAAGTTAATATAATCTAATCAATTTTTAAGGGAGAAAGAAGTAATGAATGAGTGCTGATATGAAATTAATCACCCCGGCCATTTGCATCCACTAAATTCTTGCATATTCCATCTTGGTAGCCAGAAAATATCTTCACGTTTTCAATAACAGCCCTTTTTAGAAAATAGAGGAATTTTTACAGTCTGATTTTGACAGTGGGGGCGTTCGACTTTGAACTGTTTTAGTTTATTTAAATTATCTACGTTTTATATATGATGAATAATTTCGACAAAAATTAAATTAAATAAGTGAATATATGTTTTTGACTGAAGAAAAATAATCAGTATCATAATATAATATATTACATCATTTATGAATACTATATAATCAATACTAATATCATTAATGTATTATTATCAATATATATAATAAATACATACTCTTCGGACAAAAAAACTGTTTTAAGAGGCTGGAATCAATGCATACTTGAGACTGGAATCAATGCATACTTGATGCTGGAATCAAAACATACTTGATGCTCCTACTATATATATAATTTATAAAAGGTTAACCAATCATCTCAATATCGTCTTAAGTAATTGACGTAGTAATCAATACATACCCTTTGGCCAAGGGGGAGAGAGAGAGCGCGGCATTTTCTGCAGCTGTCGTTTGTTTTTACCTTCGACTGGAATTTAACTAGAGGTTAGGGCTTGAAATTTTTGGTGATTTCTCCACTTATTGGTGCTTGTCGTCGTGAGTCGTTACCGGCTACCGTCTTCCCCGAAGACTAGCAATAAACGCACGGAACGTTTTCGAGCTCCCATACCTTCTCCCTCTCATCATCCATCCTCCCCACCCATTAGATCTGTCGAAAATTAACTGTCAACATTGTTACCCATCTCAAAACTCGAACGCAATCATACTGGCTAATCCAATCGGTTCATTTTGATTGCGTTCACTTCGTTCCTGTACTCTGAACTCAAATATTTGGTGAGCTTTAGTTATTGATGTGCTCAATTTGTTATTATTTTCTTATTATCAAAAGCCGTATTTGAATATGTGACCTACTGATTAGAAGCGATCACTAATGAGGTTTCAATGTTGTAGATATTTTTGTGTTTTTTGCTTGGTGTAGCATAATCGGTTAAGCATTTAGACAGTTGAGGCTTCAGCATTGTTTTTAGATTGATTCGGAGTCTGTTTCTTTCCTATTTAGTGTTTCTCCCCTAATTTCTATGCACTTCACCCATAATTCATAAGACTTGGCGGTCCTTTGGGCGTTAAATTGGAATCAAATGTCCTTTAATTATTGATTGTATCTATCAATTTTTTTCCGGTTTATCTGGAGATACTGGGTAAATGAATGCGTCTAGGATTGCCGTAAGTTGTATGGCTCCTTTCGAGTAGTTGTTTATTCCGTTGGCATCTGCTGCCAGACAGCTTTCTTGTTTACCTCATTATTTGGTTTAGTGATTATTCTCTGGAATAGTAAAAATTTGAGCTCGTTCTAAATTATTGGTGTTGATCCTAGGAGAAATGCTTTAAAACGATGAACGATGTCTCTTGGTTTTGTCCATATCACCGTATGTCTACTGGGACCTTAAATAAATATATAGCTAAAGAATAGGATCTAACATCCGGCTTTGTCCTTAGGCTACTCCCCTGTTTTCCTTGTTAACTAGTTGCACATGACTTCTTTCTTTAAATGGTGCGCCACTGCATTTTCTTGGGTTAAATCACTTGTTAGCCAATGCTTCTCTCATCATTTTTGCGCTTTTTTTGTTTGAAGTCGCATCAAATGGCAAACAGAGTTCAAATTCCATCAAGAAATGCAGCACTCATTGCGATGATTGCAGATGAGGTAAGAATGCCATGCTTTTATCTGATGCTTTTTGTGTGCGTGCTTTCCCCCCCACTTCTGTGGGGTTGTCTTGTAGATTATAAATGTGATCTGTTTGTGGGACAGCATAGACGTGTTTCCGGCAAGTGTACCTCTGTATCTGTACATGTTTGTTACTTATGAAGCTTTAAATGATAATTTCGTGTTCCCTCTCCCCATCTGTTAATGCGTAATTTTGTATGATTTGGGTCTCTGAGAGCAATCTGTTGCAATGCTGCGATGTAAACAGGCACTCGGATCACATTTGATACTTGGAAAGGGAATGGAAATTGGAATGAGAAAGGGAAATGGGCCTTCCATCGAACCAATTTTCATGTTTTGTTATGGAAGGAAAAAATAAAAATACTTGAATGTAAAAAAAATTAAAAAACAAGTAAATGACACAAATATCCTTTTGTGAAAAAAAGTGATAATCAGTCTTAATCTATAAAGAGTATTGTTATTTTTGTCCTTAAAATTACGGTTTTCAAGGGAAGTGGCATTTTCTTCCCATATTTGATGAGAAATCTTTCGAATAGGACTCTTGTGGCCTATCAAGTACACCAAGAGGGATTTTCTCTTTGTATTTTCCTTTCTTAAAACTCTGTTCTTTCATACTAAACATGCCCTAGGATGTTTGAGATTTTATTTGTTATGGGTATGCAAATCATCATGCGCCATCCAAGGCTAGTCAATAAATTAGTAGCGTGCACTTTAGTGTCTCGATCTCCATTGTACTGTTCTGCTTGTAATTAAATTGAATTTCACAGGACACAGTAGTTGGATTTCTGCTGGCTGGAGTGGGCAATGTTGACTTGCGTAGGAAGACAAATTACCTAATCATCGACTCAAGTATGCCATTAAACTTCAATTCTTTAATCTTATAATATGATAGTTATTATTGCTAAAGGAAAAATACAATCATTGGTCTCTATAGTTTTATCAGGTTTTGCTTTTAGTCTTAGTAATTTATTTTTAGTGTTTTCAGTTCTTATATTTCCTGTAATTTAGCTTCGTTAGGGACTTGAGGAACAAACGTTACCAAATCTTACTGAAACTATAGGAACTGAAAATACTGAAAAACCTATAGGAACTAAAACAAAACCAGATAAAACTATAGGAATTAATGATTGTGTTTTCCCATTTCTAAATAATGTGTACTGTTTATAGTGGCTACCTGTCATCTTAAATGTTGTTTTAGATTATCATATATCTAGTACATGGATATTGTGACTGCTTTTGAAATATGTTGAGGGCATCAACAGTGAAATTCCTGCTATTAACCTTGGAGAAATTCCCAATACAAGACCCTTTTACCCTTTGCTTCAAATTCAGTAACAAAAGTCAATTTGATAACATCAATATTTTGATATGTAAAACACGCAGCAACTTACTGACTTCTATTGGTAATATATATATATATATATCCACGCGTGTGTGTATGTGAGTTATATAACCTTTTAATATACCGGGTACTGTAAGGTATGTAGAAACAACTGTTATTCTAGACGTGCTCCTTTAATAGTGTTGGCACTACGGTATTCTTATGATTTATCTCTGCTTGTTTTTAGAAACGACTGTCAAGCAAATTGAAGATGCTTTCAAAGAGTTCACAACAAGGGAAGATATCGCAATTGTGCTGATTAGCCAATATGTAAGTATATTTGCAACTTGAGACTAATTCATTATTTGCAAGTACCTAAGACTGTTGTACATATATATGCAAATCTAGTTAAAACCAGCAATTGCCCCTCTTGGAAGTGAACATGATCCGCATATTTCTGAAGATCCTAACTGTATGATAGCTCATCCTGCATGTTGATCAGATTTACCTGTATAGAGATTCTGCCAAAACCTGTCTTACATGATAGTAGACACAGCAAAGTCAGATTTAATTGGGTCACCTAGAGTTTTGATAATTCTCCAGTGCTAGGTCTTGGCGCATTCTTGCTCATCTAACTTTTGGGGTTTGTACTGAATCTTTCCTCTTTAGTGCAATTTCCGTATATAAGCAGCTCTTTTTATGAACTTATTCAGTATTCACGCACAAACACATATCATGTGTTGGATCATCTGTTGTTTTCGTTGGTTTTCTAGAGCAACATAAATATTTATCTTCCTCTGAATAATTGGCTTTATTCAACTTTTTGTTAAAAAAAAGAAAAAAGGAAAGAAAACCAAGTAACTTCACCATACATGAACTCCAGAGGATCTATCTGCATCTCTCGAACCACTGATCATTGCCTTCATTGATGAATAATGCTTAGTCGGAGGATGCCCCCTTCTTCCCACCTCCACCCTCCCACACAACCCCCCCCCCCCAAAAAAAAAAGAAAGAAAATTCTTTCCTTGAAATTGATTTGCGAATCCTCTGGCCTTCGTTCATGAACTTTAAATTATGCATGTTTAATTGAAGACCTCATTCTATATCCTTCATTATCCAGGTTGCAAATATGATAAGGTTTTTAGTTGATAGCTACGACAAGCCTGTTCCTGCAATACTTGAGATTCCTTCCAAAGACCATCCTTATGATCCTGCGCATGATTCTGTCCTTTCACGAGTGAAGTACCTCTTTTCTGCTGAATCTGTGGCATCTGGCAGACGTTGAATGCTTCCTCGAAGCTTGTTTTATTTCGCATTGCCCCTTTTATTGCATGTTGAACATCCCCACCAAAAAAAATCTCCTCGGCTGGACTGTAACCTGAATAATCTTGCTTTTGTGGGTTTTTGTCCTTTTTGCATAAATTAGCGTGATGCATTTGCATTGCTAGTTTCATAAAGAAATAAGATTCATGGTTTGTAATCATATATAGATATAATAAACTGTTTGTGGTTTATATATATATATATATATATATGTAATGACCATAACTGAACGAGATTTGAGTATTTTCAGATCTAATTAGATGTAACTGTTTGAAAAGTATTGTTTACATTCATAGACTTAAATCCAATACCTTGTGCTTCAATAGCTATGATCCCTTCTACGCTGCTCAATTGTGGTTTTTTGCTTGAACTCGAAAAGGCATGCTAGGGGAATTAATTCTCAACATACGCTAGGCCATTTGTTGACATTTTCTTAGATGCAAGTGCTTAAAAGTTTTAAAAAAAAATGAAGGAAATAAAGGGAAATAGAAATGAAGAAAAATGGAAAAATTTGTTAGCTGAGAATGGACATAACGTATTTAATATTATAAAATGATTGAAATGGAAAATTTTAAAAAATACGAATGTTATAGTGTAGTGGATCTGCTAGTGTTGAAAATGAAGGTGATATGGATTTCTATTGAGTGCAAGTGGATCTATACTGACTGCGAAAATAACTGTGCTACGGGGTGTTTTTCGGGGGCGTGTTCTCAAATCTCAAGTGTCTCATATTGTTCTTTTCATGGATGAAAAGTGATCGTTTTGTTTTTTTTTTTTTGGAGCCCTTGCAACTTCCACGTTTCGGGAGCGGTTTTTTCAAAACTTATCCACTTTGTTCCCAAATGCTTAAAACTTTTTCTTAAAAAAAAAAACTCTTTTTTCTAGTAACACATGTTAGGTTTGGGTTGAAATTATTTGATCGAATATTAGTTATAAATTATGAAAAATTTATGATTGCAAAATATTAGCTTTTGTAATTTGTAAAAAAATTTCTTGTAAATTAACTCGTTTCAAGTGTCAACAACAAAACACATTTTGTCTGTCCATTCACTCTTTAAACCTGGGCACTTCAAGTAATTTTGAAAATTCATGATGTTTTTAAAATAATTAAATAATAATTAATAAATAATTTTCTATTCTTGTGGGGTTGGGGGTGTCATTTTCCCATTTTAAATTATTTTCTTTAGCAAAACGAATAATGAATCCCAGAAAAAAACAAGGCTTGGCTTTGCTCTGTTGGGGAAAGTTTTCTCCACAGATTGTCCAGATTAAATTTATATTGTTAGGATTTAATTTTTTATTTATTAAAATAAAAAATTTATATAAATTATAAAAAAATTAATTTGTATAAATTTGTTTTATTTATTAAAAAATCTGTTTACTGGTTTAGATAATATAAATTCAATATAAATGGTTCGTGTTTAATATTAAAAAATTATAAAAAAATTAATATTAAATTTATATGATCAAAATATATTTAAATAATTAATTTATAAAAGTTATAAAATTTTTAATAATAATTCTGAATTAATGAACATATTTATTAAATTTTTTTACATATGCTTTCAGATTTAAGGCGGATCGTCCAACTTAAGCCCTACTCTCACTGGAGGCGCGGAGGGAAACCGAGTCCAAGAAAAAAGTCATCACTCATCAAACGCCAAAGGTTTTTTCGTTTTGTTTTGGTTTTTTTTTTTTGTTTTTGTTTTTGTTTTTTTGGCAAAGAAGATTTCTTTCCAATCCGTTCGATACTTTGCTTCCCTGTCCCCTGAATTTTCTCTGCTGCCCTAGCGCCTATTGTCGACCAGAGAGTTAGCATTGCCGCCGTCCGCCGTCGACCTGAAGCTGGGGCTTGGTTCACGATCAAGGATAACAAGTAAGTACAATGCGATAGAAACTCCTGAATTGTTTTCGGTTATGTTTCTTGGTTTATGAGCTATCGTCTTGGTGTAGTGAATTTATGATATTGATTTTCGAATACTAGCTCTTGGATTGTTTTTGCAGTGAGTGCTGTCATATTAAACTGCCATGCTTTTGTGCGAAACGTATGGGCGGTAATTCTATTTTGATTGATCTCATGCTTCATTTTTTTCCCAACATCTCGCTTCTCAGAGGTAAGGTGCCACAAGCAGTGACACGATGCTGGGAATTTCGTCTGGAGAGCTGTTGTTGTTGATGGGAGCTGCTGCTGCTGCGATCGGTACTTACTACCCTCTATCAAGCATTTATCAAATTTATTTCTTGGTGGGATTTCAGATTACTTGTCCACCAAACGATGTACAATAGGCACAAAGGATTTGCCAAATATTGCTAGAGTGGCGGGAAGGCTAGCTGGCCGAGCTATTGGGTACGTGCAGTTGGCTCGTGGCCAATTCGACTCTGTTATGCAGCAAACTCAAGCTCGCCAGGTGCTTCCTTTTTTAATCCGAGGCAGTGTGATGTGGATTGAATTTATGTTTTTTTCAAACTACCTGATCCTATATTAGATGATAAATGTGTCCCCTTAGTTGCTCGGGTAGGGGTGCAGGAGAGAAAGTAAATAAAATATAGATGGAGAATAAGAAGAGAAAATAAATGAAATTGTGGCAGACTTGTTCTATGCGCAGGAAATTCTAGCCTTTTTTCCCCCGGTTTGTCTACTTATTCTATCTTTTTATTCATTTTGTTTTCTTGTTATGGGTTTCCTATAAATAGTCCTATCAATAGCTTTATTTCAATTTTTTGGACCAGTTGAAGTCAGTTTATCCTGTCAGTACAGTCTCCCAACTTCACACCCTTCCTCTCCTTTAATTCTATCTACTGTTGCACATCAGTGAGGAAGTGGGGGGTTCAATAAAATCTTTCTTTCTTTAAGAAAAGAAAAAAAGATGAGAGCAATTAAAAAGCCTTATGTCTTGATTGCATGTTATGCACTTTGAATATCTTCAATATCAATATGTCAGGAAAAAAATATTAAAGTTAGGAGCATATCTTTATATCTTATCAGAGGATCAACTTTATCCATCTAACCTTTGTCTACGGTATTCCTTTTCAGAATTTATATTATTTTATGTTCATTTGTTACGTTTTCAGGTTCATAAGGAATTGCAGGATACAATGGCCCAGCTAGATGCCATACGGCATGAAATTCGAAGCATATCAATCATCAATCCTAGCCCTATGACCCGGAGGCTTGTGGATAATATTGACCTCAAATCTCTCTCAGATGGTATTATCTGAACAAATGATTTTTGCTATATTGTTGAATGTACTAAATTTTCAAACATGGTTGCTGAGACTCTGTACAATTCTGTAATTCTCTCCTTATTTTATGTAGACAATAGGAAACTAGAAAACATTAGTCGGGAGAATAACTCAGTATCCACTGTTTCCAAGGTTTATCTTGCAGCTTCAAATTATTATATACACTTCTTTAGGATCTAAGTATACTCACATGTCTATCTTTGGTTCCAGGATTCTGCTCCACTGCCTTCAGATCCATGCAATATGCTTAGTCAAACTACTATTGGTTTTGGAAATAGGAAACCAGAAAACATTAGTGGAAAGAATGACTCAGTACCCTCCATTATCAAGGTTTTCTTTGGAGTTTAAATGATTATATTTTGGTTTAGGATCCGAGTATATCACGTGCCCATTTTTTTTTTCCCCAGGACTCTGCCCTACCATCCTCAGGTTCATGCAATATGCATTCTCAAGCAACCACCTATGCCAGATTAGCTGAGTCTCCTGCCATAAAGAATAATCTGTCAACTTGTAATACTGAAGTGAAGATTGGCAATGAACTGCAGCTAACTGTCATTCCAATATCTGCTGAAGATACTGGACTGTCACCAAATCGTGGAGGTGGTGATCATTTACCATTTATGTTTTCTTGTTGCTTGTCACCTACATGGTTGGTTTCTGACATCATTCTTATTTGGCTATCTATGGTTTGTTTGGCTTACAATTACGAATGATGAGTATCAGTAGTTCATGCATATCGAAAAGTACAAGTTCTTGAAAAATGTGTGGTCATTCTTTGAATGTATATGATTTTGGGACCATTTATAACTGTCTACCTCGTTCATTTTCTTTTCCTTACTTTTTTTTTTCCCGGTTGACTTATTTCGTATGAGGAGGGATGTTATTGAAGTGCCCTTGTTTGTCATAGATCGATATGGAACTGAGCAACCCATGACATGATTGTTTTGGCAGCTGATGTGAAAGGATCTGACATTGTTTTGGAAGCAATTCTAGAGGCTGAGGTGGCTCATAATGCAAAGGAATTCTTTTCACAGCCCCAAAGCCAAATCTGAAAGGTATGGTAATACTGCATGATACCTTATTCTCCAAGATATCTTCTGTGCTTGGATTGTAGCATCTGCTAATATAAAATTATACTTCCTCTGTCCTATATTATAGGACACTTTTGGATAAGTTTCTCCATCCCAAAATATAAGGCACTTTGAGTAGATTAATATTTCATTAAATGTATCAATTACAATATTACCCTTTCTCTTGCTACAATTAATTTTTGTCCCTTCTCTTTTTAATGTATTAAATAATGGGTATTTTTGAAAGTTTATATTTTTGTTTTGGAAAAATAAGCTTGTTAAGTGTATTTGATGAGGTTTATTGGTATGTGAGATTTTATCTAAAAGTGTCCTCTAATTTGGGACGGAGGGGGTACCAATTTAGTTTGCAATTTTTAATGAGGATATTGGAACGTGACTTTATGTCTACGGTTACTAGTTTTTGGTGTTGAATTGGAAAGATGGCAGTAAGAGCTTGCAAATATTGATTAGGAGATGCGATACGAACAAATATTAACTATTAGATGTTCAACAAGAAGCCTTATTTCACCGGGTGGGGTTGGTTACATGTATTATACGATTTTATTGTGCTCTATTATTTATTAAACTTTTAGAAATATTGTTAATTAAGAGGTCTTGATCAATAACTTTCAAAAGTATCCTCTGACCTTCCTCTATCTCTCTTGACAGGGCTTAAAGTTATCTACTCCACTCTCCTTACAAGTGCTTCTTGTGTTTTTTTTTTTGTACATATGCAAACTATCTCAAATGATTTTCTATTGTTTTTCTTTCAATAGGTGTGACACCCACTTTTTTTTGTATGCGCTCATTTCAGATTTTGTCTCTACGTATATGTCCACACATCTATCTCAACATTCTTATCTTGATTACTCTAATTTTATGCTCTTGCTGTCCTGTTAAAGACCAACAGTTACCACTATATAATACTATTGGTTTTATGACAGGTTGATAAAATTTTTCTTTAAATTTATTAGGTACCTTACGATGCAAATAACTCCTTTAGCCTTTTGTCAATTAAACCACCCAACTTGTATCCTATATGTAATATCTCCATCAATTTCCTCATTATATTGAATAATCGCTTTCAAATATTTGAACTTTTCCACTTAATGTATAATTTGATCATCCAATTTTACTTTCAAATTACCACTCCACTAACTTCTCATCAAAATTACAATGTAGATATTCCGTTTTACTCTTACTCAAGTAGAAATCTTTTAACTTCAATATCCTCTTCTATAATTCAAGTAGATGTTCAAGGTAGAAAATGTCTAGCAGTCTATGGGCTGAAAAATTGTTGACCGTTACCTTTGGAAGAAAATATGGGGCTAATATTTCCTGTGACACTGGCAACTGACAAAGTAGTCATTTGTTTAAACTTTTTTCCTTGCACAAATAGCATGCTTAAAGAATGGATCAAGCTAAAATGAAATGTGCTTACCTGTTCCCCCCACCCTATAGTTGGATAGCTTACAAATAATGGAAAGATGGATCTCACTTTTGCATCTGGGGGCATGATGAAGGTTTTCTGCTGTTCTGCTTCTGCATATATGAAATTTTGACCTGGTATGTAACGAGGAACTGGTGCATGATGAGCGCATGACCTTATACAGCTAGTGGCAACTCGTTTAAGCAATCTGAAGTCTAGAGGCTGAAGGAAGCGAGAGGCAATTCTTTATTTCAGAGTTATTGAGAACTTTTTATTGACCTAGAATGCCTTACGAAAGCTGAAAGGATCTTATGCTTACTGATTGTTCACATGCACTTGGAGAAATATTCTGCATATTATGTCGTATTATATTGCTGATAATACGTTGCAACATTTCCACACTCCAGGTAAGAACAATCGCTCTCTACTATTTGCAGGGGAAAACGAGATATGGAAGGAGACTGCATCACTTGCGGTGCATACAGTACAAGGGATTTCCCCTTTTGGGCTCGGGAACTAGTAACACGATAAACTGTTGATGTTTAGTTAGTTGCCATTGGAGTAAAGCATAGCCCATTGGATTTATTTATTTATTGGTCACAAGCCTAGTCCATTAATTCAGGCTGTTGTATAGACGAAAGAAGCTTCTGTTATTCAGGCTCAACCTGTCTTGTATCAATTCGGAGTCTCGAGACGTCTTATGCGTGTCACTTTGTAATACGAGTCGTAGTAAAATGGTGGGTAAGGACTTTCCCGACAGGGTGGGATAAAGATTTTTACGTGTTATGGAGTAGCCCCCGGTTTTCTTCCCCTCCCTTGTTTTTACTGTTTTACTCCACTTCTTGCTATTGCGTTTCTTATCTTCTCGAGGTGAAGAACATGAAAATTTGACTTGTTTTTGTCCCCAGTGAAATTGATTTTTGAAAACGTAATTATTATGAACAATGTAATAGTAACAGGATTGCGTTGTATAATATTAGAGAAGAAACATTGTGACTTGTGAGAAAGAATTGTAACTGTACCTTTTTCTTTCTTTTTTCTCTCTACATTCAAGACCAATAATCATACCGTTTTCTACAAGCCGGGAACAGAAAGTGGGTTCGAATTATATTTAAATCAATAATAATAATAATGGGTTAGAATCCCATTCAAACCTTGATGTGTTGTGGAAGCAAACAGGCTCCATCCCTGCGGGCAGTGCTGAAGAACGAGATGGCCCCCCCATCCCTCCTTCCTCCCTCTCCTATCCGTTCTGGATCTGAAGACACTTAAACATCTGATTGGTATTCTCCCTGTCCTTTTCCCATGCCTTTGTAACGAGGCGATATTTTAATAAATCATCAGTTTCTTTTGGCTGAAAGTCACTCTGTGGGTTTTCCCCGCCATTTTTTCTTTAACACGGGCGTGATTTGAAGTGAATGTAATAGAGAGGAGATTTTAGTGAGTCTAAAAAAAATTAGATGAAAAAGATTATCAAATTTTATTACTTCTCCATTTCTATTTTTGGGCCCAAGTTAGCCCGTGGATTAGCAAAAAGGTTTCGTGGCAAAGGAAAAGCAGGGTGGATCCGTAAATTTTCTAAAATGAAGCCCCTTTTAGGTAAAGGACAATATTTCTCCTGAACTCGGGATAAAGTCCCCACTCCCTTGGCCTCTTTTTCAAGCTCTGGGAGAACTGACTGGTATTACTTCGTTAAAAAAAGGCAGAGTAAGCAAAAAGCAACTCTGAAAGTTGGACAAATTCTCTGCGCTTCATGTAGATAGGAATCGGGTGCTTCAATTGTTTCTCAGCACGACTCGTCCTGAGTCTTGACTCATGGCCAATAACCCATCCGAGGCTCCCACCGATGACTTCTTCGAACAAATTCTGGGCCTCCCGACTTTCGCTTCCATTGACTCTGGCTTGGCTGGAGCTGATGGTGGCTTGGCCGGTACTGCTTCTCCGGCTCCCAAGATGCTGCAGCTCAACTCCAGCGATGCCACCGGCCACCCTTCCGCCGTTGGTGTTGCTGGCGGCACTGGTTTTCATGGACCAGTATACCAGTTAGGCCTCAGTCTGGAGCAAGGAAAAGGAGGAAGTTATTTTAAACCCGAGGAGGCTTCGGGCACTGGGAAGCGGTTTCGCGATGACGTCGTTGATGGTAGAACTAAGAATGTAAGATAAACTTATTTACTTTTCCTTAGTTTTCCGTTAGTGTTGGCAGATATCTTGCGAATGGATGAACTAAATATTTCTTTTTCGTGTGTGAGTTATGACTGTCAGTTGAAAGTGAGCTTTTGCGGTTTAATGGTTTTTGTTTAACAGGGTAGTATTTTTTAAGATGGTCATTAGTTATATAGTATATGGTTGGTTTCTAATGTAAAGCTGACTTCCCTTTTGTCCTTTCCCTTAATTTCACTGCGAGAGAATTGATCATTTCGGTCAAATTAATCAAATACATACATACACATATATATATATATATATATGTATGTATATATATTTTTCAATTTCTGAAATAAAAAAGTGTGTTTGGAACCGGTAAGACGTAAAGTTTTTAGGCTGTGTTGGATTCATTTCTGTACAGGGAACAGTAAAAGGGGGAAAAAGCTTGTGATGGATGTATAACGAACGAAGGGGAATCAGTAGGTAGGAGGGGTTTAATGCTTTTCGTACAATTTGATAGTTGATACTAATGAAAGTGGGAAGGAGATTTTGTCTTTTATACAGGTCAAGAGTTTGACATAGTCTTTACAGTAACGTATCACATGAAATATATATGGCAAATTGTATTATTCACAAATCACAAGTCATAAATCGCATAACTCACCTTAAACTTTATGTAATGCATAAAAAACCGTGTCTTGTTATTGTAAATATGTGCTTAGATTGTCGTGTTTGGTTCAAAGTGCTACCATGGCATAGCCTTTATGGTGTGACGAAGTCATACTAGAATTGAATGAAATTAATACCCATGAGGCTGAATAATCTTTGAATTGCAAAAAATCTTCACTATAAGAGTCTTTTACTGGTTGGCATATTTAAAAGATTTCTCGGGAGTTCTGCAATTGGTAATTGTTACTAACTTGCTATGGACATCAAAGCTCATTCTCGTTGTCTTATTATATGTTGTGCTTGGAGTAAATTAGTTGTCCTTTCAGGACTTGACTTTCGTGTTCATTTGAATGTTGACACAAATGTCCCGGTATTTTTGTTGAAAATATTTGTATAAGGTCTATATTTTGAAGTTTGACCTATTGAAATCTAAGATCCATCTTTGGTGTGTATCCTGTTGATAGTGTTTTCAATGGAGTGGTTTCAACTTCATAGAATTGTGATATGCTGAAAGTTGAGTTACTCAGGCCCGTGCATAAGTATTTCTGGTCACTTTAAGGGATCTTTGAACCCTAGGTCATGTCATGTAATCTGTAGCATGTAAGTTTGATTTTGACTAATTGGTAAATAAATGATTTCATAGTATAAAAGTTAGATTCTATTGCATTTTACTTATTTTTTCAATCTTTGGGCTGCGAATATGTTGATCAGGAAGTGTTTTCTTGTAATGCTCCAATAAACCGTTTTCAGGTTTTTCATGGGCAATGTATGCCATCTACCATTCCTGCTGCTCCACAGCCACCAACAATGCGACCAAGGGTGCGGGCTAGAAGAGGACAAGCTACAGATCCACACAGCATAGCTGAACGGGCAAGTCCCAGAATATTTACATGAATACTAATTGTCAGCTAGTCATGATATTTACATTTTAAGCATGAGGATGATTTGTTTAGACATTGACATCATTTGTCCATGGATTAAGCTTCGTTGTAATTATCCTTAATGTTATCTTTTGATGACAGTTGCGCAGAGAGAGAATAGCAGAGAGGATTAGGGCCTTGCAGGATCTGGTTCCTAGTGTTAATAAGGTAAATGACTTTTTTTTACATGTCAATTGCTTTGTGGTTAGAAGCTGTATATCTTGTGAAACAAGATTGACGTTTCTTGTCAATGTATGTCTAATAGGCCATAATTTGATGCCTGTGATTTAATTAATTTTTTAGATCTCTTCTTGGCTACTGATTTTATGAAGACTTATGTTTAAACTTTAAATGGTCTAGAGAGCAGCATGCTGGCATCTGCCTATGGACCTGTTGATTGTCAAATCAGTTTTGAACCAATTGTGTCCCATTATAGGTGAAATTTCCTGATAAACATGTTTATCTTTTTAGTTTTTAAAATGAGAATTTATCGAGGACTTTTCAGGAGTATAGTTAATGAAGAAAGATATGTTTCCATAAAAAAGTTATTGAAGTGAAATCATCTTTGACGTTCTTGTTTGGGGTGCACAAATTTTGAAGTTTCTTAAACAAATAAAATGAATCTTCTGGATTTCCAGAGATTGCAATTACTGTTATCATAGGGAAGTGTAGAAAATGTTACTATGCCTTTTGGCGGATAGTATTTCTCAATATTGCTGCCCTGTAACATTTCATATTTGAAAATTATGTTCAAATTATTTCATTTGTTCTCATATTATTTGTGCTCTCTTCAGACAGATAGAGCTGCCATGTTAGATGAAATTGTGGATTATGTCAAGTTCTTAAGACTTCAAGTGAAGGTAATTGAAGGCATCTTTGGTTGTTGACTTAATGTTACTCCATGATGGAAGCTGTTATTTTAAAATTTTTTTAACACCAAATTCTCTGAATATTTTTAAAGTGTTGTTGAGTTCCCTAGACGTCTAGTGGAAAACAAATTGATTGACCTATGATATGAATATCAAAGCGAGACTCTCCACAGGGTCCACTTTTTAATTTCTTGTCAAAGTGAGAAACTGAAGAGTTTGGAATTCTTGCAGTGACCTTTCAATTTGATCCCCTTTTTCTTTCAGGTTTTGAGCATGAGTAGATTGGGTGGAGCCGGTGCAGTGGCACCACTTGTGACTGACATCCCATTATCATCAATTGAGGTATGCTTCACATTAAGAAAAAAGGAAATAAAATTAGATGCAATTCTTGATATCTTCAGTCAGCTACTTTGATTAGAACATAACAAGTATATAGGTCTTTAATAATAAGGTTAAGGGTCTTTTTGCCCCTTAACTTTACTCGAAGGGTCATTGAGCACTCTAAATTTGATTGAGGGTCAATTCTGTCCTTCAATGTTAAAGATTCCCTCCCTCGTCATCTTATCATTTTCTCACTATTTATTAACTATTAGTGGGCCCCCTATTACAATTTTTCTAATATTTTTTATTATAAAATGGGGTTAAGGGTCAGTTTTGTCCTTCAACTTTATTCAAAGGCTCATTGGACACTCTAAACTCAATTATGGGTTAATTTTTTCCCCCAACATTAAATGTTGCCTTCTTTATCACCTTGCCATTAACTCACCGTTAGTGGGCCCCAAAATACATTTTTTTAATATTTTTTTGTTATAAAATATTTGAGTTCAGGGTGCCCACTTATCTTTTGGGGTAAAGTTGAGGGGTAAAAATAACTTTTAACCCAATATTTTATAATTTAAAAAATAGAAAAAATGCAATGTGGGGCCCACTAATTGTGAAGAAAACGAGTTAATGGCGTGGTGATGAGAGAGGGAATCTAACATTGAGGAATAGAATTGACTTATAATTAAGTTTAGATTGCCTAGTGAGTAAAGTTGAGGGGCAAAATGACCCTTAACCCAATATTTTATATATATATTTAAAAAAAAATGCAATGTGGGGCCCATTAACAGCAGGGTCACTTAACCCTTCGGTGAAGAAATGATGAGTTAATGAGGGGGTGACAAAGGAGGGAATCTTTAATATTAAATGATATTTATAGTTGAGTTTGAAGTATCTATTGAACTATTAGATAAGGTTGAGGAATAAAAATGACTCTTAACCCTTAATAATAACATTATAGTTTCTGCAGTTGACTATAGAATCTCCTATTATTGTTGAAAACTATACAGCAGTCAACTTCTAATTGAAAATTTTGGTGGCAGATATGAACAGAACTTTATCTAAATCTAGTATTACAAAAGTACTATATATTTCTTCAAGCAATTAATCAAATTAGTGTTGATTAGGAAGATGGGAGTGAAGGTGGAAGGAATCAAGTAATATGGGAGAAGTGGTCGAATGATGGCACAGAAAGACAAGTAGCTAAGCTTATGGAAGAAAATGTTGGAGCTGCCATGCAATTCCTTCAATCAAAGGCTCTCTGCATAATGCCAATCTCCCTCGCTTCTGCAATATACCACTCACAGCCACCGGACACCTCAAGCATAGTCAAGTCTGAGACTAATCCTCCTCCATAGAAGACCTCAACCTCCATAGTCCAGGGCCTCACCTAACACTGCTGGGACCCCCAAAACCCCCATAATTCCAGTCACTGGATGCAATTAAAGTAGGATGTCATACTTGTATCTTTTTTGCCTTTCTTTTCCTGCTTTTGTCAATACAGGGGTGGATGTCAATGCCCTTGAATATGAGCAGACCCCACCTTGTCTTGCCGAGTTTCAAGTAAAAGGAAAGGAATTGTCAAAGTTCACTTGATACGCTCTTGTTTCCTTTTGTATCAATGGGTGGAGTGGGGGTAGTGGAACATTATGGGAGTGCTTTTATAGTGGAATGGTTTGTGGGACCTTGTCAAAGGATAGAGTGGTGTGTATATTTATTAGTGGATGTAATGTAATTTATGAGGAATTTGAAATGAATAATGGTTGCTTTCAACAATGCTGGTGTTTGCAATGTCCAATGGAAAATGATGTTGCTTTTTGTTTGTTATGGGGTTGGTGTCTGTTCTTTACTTTGCTAATATAATGATCTTATTAGTGAATGTTTTGTAAGTATTTTTATAAGTATTATTTGAGTTTGAAGGTATGTTTTAATTCTGATGAATTATCTACATTCAACTCACTCAAATTTATATATATATATATATATATATTTAAAAAAAGCCATTGGACTTATCCCTTACTGTATGCTAAATCATTATAAAACTTGAACAAGACGGAGGGAAAAAGGTGTTTCTTTCATCAATCAGTATTTATAAAATAAAAAAGTAAATAAGACAAAAGTATCTCATTCTATAGAACTTTAGCCATTCTATCAACTCAACCCATCCTGTCTCTCACCTTCTTTTCTATTTGATGCTTCAGATGTTTTCTTATGGTTTTGTTTCTTGAGAAATATATTTATTAGTTTTGAAAATAGTTTATTTCATTAAATTTTACTACGGATCATATGGTATCTTTATTAATTGAATCATTAAAACATTCATATAAAAAATTTAAAATAAAATTCTATATGAGATGTTACATTTGAACGTCTGAATAAGTAGTAGGTTATATGTGTGTCTGTAAAGTAGTTACTAATTTTGTTTTAAAAAAAAAGAGAAGTAATTACTAATTTACTATGTATGGGTCTACTCATGATTAGCGGAACAAATGGTCAGAGGCCCAGTTATGTATATAAGTTTCAGGCTTAAAGGGATTCCATTCTTTATCTGGGCCATAAATCGAACAGGGCTTCCTGAGACCATCTGTAATGTCTCTCTTCTACATGGTGCTTCGTGATCGGCCCTGCTTCATCGGCTATACCTGCATAACGAGCATGCGTAATCCTTGAAGATAAAGATAAGTTACCGAGAGAGACAAGAAGCAATGGGGGTGGAACAAGCAGCAACATCGTCTTCTAGTTTGAGAAACCTGCACATCATCTCCCGTATTCCCAAATCTCCATCTGTAATTCACTGTCCAAACCTTTTTCCTTCCGTCTCTCCCTACAAAAGTCACTCTTATAGGTGGAATGGTTGCCTCAAGTGCTCCATGAATGATTACAAAGACCAGTTCTACGCTAATAATGATCGCCTCCAGCCTCAGGTGTCGTACCCTAAACCCTCGGTGGTTCCTTGGATGAAGGAGCTCTGCAATTCCGTCAATCTAATCGGCGTCGTCGCCGTTCCTGTAGAAATTAAGCACTTTCCCTCCGGAAAAGTGGTCGCCTGGACCCGCCTTGCCGTTAAGAAAAACGCCACCCAATCATTCTGGTACTTCACCCATTCGTGGCGTTGAAACCTTGCTTTTTTCCCCCTCGTGGACGGTCATTTACTTATTGGGTGGTAATTCGTGGCTCATGGGGCATTTTGACGATGGATTTTTTTTTTTTATTGACTTGCTCTCTGAAATTTATTTACTACTCTAGAAGTAGAAGTCTCCAGTTTCAGTACAACTTCTAGTTAGAAAGGGGGATGGGAGTTCATAACTGTTCCCCTAGCTGCTGCCACAAGATATTGCTATTTGAATTCATGTCGAGCACTTCTTTTTTCATCATTTTAGAGGTGGTTTGCCAAATGAGTGACACTGAATGGGCAGGAAGTGGAGAAGTGAATTCCTATGGTAGTTGGTTCTCATAAAAAGAACAAAAACAGAGAAATTTGTTGCTAGTTATTACCTGAATAAGCAAAATTTTAACTTGAGTGCTACTGCATTGCACTCCCATTTACTTGAGTGCCATCGTGTAGTTTCTTTTGATGATTTTTCTTGTTTTTTGTTTTTTGTTTTTTAAACTTTGCGTAGGGAGAGTAATATACTCCCAACTGAAGCAAAAAGTGGCTTGGCTATTCCCCCATTTCAAGTTTGCTAAAGTATTCTCCTGGGTTCTATCTAAAAAGGAAATTAGCATTCATTTGGATTTTGAAGAATTATCTTTCTCAAAGAAGTTACTTTTTTTAAAATGAAGGATAAACTTGACATTCTGGGATGAGCTTGCACATGTTGCTTTTCAGCATGTAGAGAAACGCCACCAAATTTATGTTTCTGGTCGCCTGGTTACAGATACTGTCCAAAGTAACTTGGGGAAGCAGCAAACCTACTACAAGGTCTGTAATTTCTATTTTTCTTTTTTTGTACATATTTGTTGCCCTTCTGCAAGTGGATCACTACATTTTAGGTCTCAAGCAGGTGTTTGTTCAGCAGCTGAATTTCATTGATAGGAGTCAATTACCAGCATTGACAAACAATCGCGAGTCTGATTCCGTGATGACTGGCAAGTCATGTATTCAATCAAACACAGTGTCCATTGTATTTGAGTGTCGTTTTTCCACTTAATGTCAAACGTGTTTTCAGCTTTCATTTCAGATAGAAAAGGAAATTCTGGTGCAACTAATAATACTGGTTCTGCTGAAGAATTATGGCAATTGTTTTTTGCTAATCCAGAGGAGTGGTGGGACAACAGGAAAAAAAAGGTAAATTCTTGGCTATATTGTAAATGTAGAAAAGGCGCTTTTCTGCTGTAATTTTTTTCCTTGTGGAATCTGATGCCTGTTTTAATTTTCAAGTAATTCAGTGCCTATTGAATATTGCAATTGTTTTTTAAATCACTTCTCCGTGATACCTATATGGCTATATTTTCTCATCTTTATTCAAAACGGATGAATATAGCACTGGTGGATTATTGCTTATTTTATGATTATGAGGCTTCTATAGTTGTGGGAAAGCCTATTTGAATTTCTGTTGCCTCAAGTTATTGGAAAATTTGCAGAGGAACCCAAAGTATCCTGATTTCAAGCACAAAGATACAGGGGAGGCTTTGTGGGTGGAGGGCAGGTCCAATCCACCATGGGTCAAGTCGCAGCTGGAAATAATGGATGCGAGGATGGAGCTTTTTCCTGATCAAAATGCTAAGATGCTTGTAAACAAGGCGGCTGCTGATGAATTCTTGTCTTTCTAAAAGCTTGTGCATTTGATTTTGACGGGGATATATACTTTGTACAGTTCCGTTTTACACTTCGAATGCAAATTATAGTTCTAGTCCAGCAACTTACGCTATTGATTTGTCGTGCTAAATTTTCTGCGCTGATTACGCACATGTATCTTATTTGCCTCATTACTATTAATGTCGGGACCGGCTTCTAAAACATTTTTTTGTCGTTATAATAGAAAATGACTGTATATTGCTACGTTTGCTTCCTAGAACTTGTTAATGTTTGAGATATATATATATATATATATATAATTTTACTATTCATGTTATAAATAATATAACTCACATTAAGACTTTGTACAGAGCATAGGAGTTTCTCCTTTAATCCTCTTTATAAGTTATTGTATCTATTTCATTAATATCAATGTAAAAAAAAAATAAAAAATAAAAATATATAAAATTTTAAATATGTTTCTATATATTATTTTTTCTCTCTCATAAAGTATAATTTTAATTTTTTTTTGAATATTACTAAAAAAATTGTATTATGATTTATAAATAAAATTAAATATATATTTTAAAATATAATTTATAAATGAAACTGAAAAGAGTATATTTTAGCTGAAAACATTTTGACGCGAGGGGAGTCAGTATCCCTATAAGTTGTTAATTTCAATAGATGTAGAACATTTTCGTCCCTCAAACCGAGGGCGACTGCACACAGACAATATTTATGTTATCATTATGATTCACGTGATGGTAGGCACTTATTATAGGAAAATCTTTCAACTGAGTTCCTCTTAATTTCAATAATTTTTAGTCAATTAACCAGAAATAAAATAGAGGTAAGTGATGTACTACAAAGGCGGGTTGTGGAGGCCAGATTCGTGAGAAAATCAAGGTACTTGGGTCATAGGTTTCTATAAATGTTCTGGAAAGATGTTCATGTATGTGGAAGCTGAGGCGGCCCATTGCGGTACTTTGAAAGGTTGTCTTCTTTCCTGGAATGCTGGGATTCGTTGGGTGGGCGTTGAATCTGATGCATTATCATCAGTTCAGGGATGGTACGCTCTTAAACCGTGCAACATCTACCACCCGTCTAGCTTTTCTTGATTAAAATCCTCTCTCTCTCTCTCTCTCTCTCTCTCTCTCTCTGTGTGTGTGTTATATGTCTTGCTGTTGCTGTGTCCTGCAATATCGATTCAAGAGATTTGGTTCCCCTTTTATGGGTGTACAACCCTACTAGGCAAGTAGACAACTGTTGTTATTATTTTGTGTAATAAGGCAATAATAATGTCAGCACAGAGACAGAACACAGCGTGTAATCACATATACTGGATCCTCCATAACATGGGATTGGGATGAACATGTAGACCTCTGAGTTAGATGGAGGGTACAGTATCACCATTTTGCAGAACCGAATCGGCTGTCTGGCATTCCCACCTTACTCATTAATTTGGTTTGTTAACCGGTAAGTCTAAATTGGAACTTTCCTTCCTAATACCCTACTTTTGGTCGGTAAGTGGACCAAACGGTGATCTGTTTTCTCTTGTTAGAAAAAGAGTTGACGGGTCCTATTTTTCTCTGATTGGGGTTTAGGATCTGTTTGTTCTTGACAAGACTAATATCATACTCTCTAATCACGTGCTTTGTTATCTGCATTTCCACGTCACGAAATCCTTTGGTATTAATGTACCATGTTAAGTTGTCGACTAGCTAGCTCCATGCAGATAGAAGCTTCATCAAAATTCAAAGATAACTCGCCCCCATCAGATCCACCAAAATACCCGAATCCTGTTGCAACCTGTAGAAGTGGCTTTCTAAAGTTGAAAATAACTAAAATAAAAAGCCACAGCTTCCGAGAACTGATTATCTTCTTTATTTTTTTCGATGAGGATCAATGCATGAAGATTTTTGATTCAAGACACACTGTCCCACCACAAACAGTGAGTTTTGAAATCATTGCTTCGACCGAGGAGTTGATGTTACCCGAAATTGCGTGATATCTTTAAAGAATGATTCTCGATCATAGAATGATATAAAGCTTTTTCATTCACGCAATGCTCTTGTTGACTCCCTACCACATTCGTGCACGAATCTGATCCCTCTGCTTTAATGAACATCTTCAATATTTAGACACACAAAAATTGGAATTCAAAGACTCCAAATATATTTTTGTTTCCCTCCCTCCATCTTCATTCCTAACTTTTAATAAAGTAAGTGGACCAATGCATATGGGGAACCACAGGTCACGAAAATTTTCTTAATTTTCTACGTATTTGTAGCCAGTCCTTGGTAAATTAAACTTGAACTCGCGAAAGAGAAAAATCAGTGTCAGCCGATGTGAATCTTCTATATAATGAAATTAATTAGTTGAGTTGAAAAGGAAACATGGTAAAAAAACTCATAAACTTAATACCTTAAAATTATATGTTAAAATATGTTCTTCTAGCTAATAATACGAGGAAGGACCTGAGAAAGCATCTTTATGTCTCCTCAAGAGAAATTTGAGTTTGAAGAGAAACATGAGGAAGAAGCAAGCAGCTTGTGCATGCACATCCACATTTCAAAAGACGAGTGAAGAAAATTTTTATTAAAATAAATGAAAGGATATATATTAGAAGGACGTGTAAAAATTAACTGTGAAAGAAAGAATTGGTGGCAATGTATATATAAACAAAACCATAGAAAGGAAAGGAAACTGTAGTGGTTCTTACGTCTTTAATTTAAGTTTTTTCAGATTTAGAAAACCTGAGAATTTATTGTAATTAATAGTAGACTAGCGGCATTTCAACTTTTTAACATTAAAGTAGACCGTTTAATTTAAAGTAAAAATTAAGATGGAAGAATTTTAATTTCCTCTTAATTTTGAGTGTCAGCTAGACAATATGCAACTTCTCTATCCGCTATACTACAGAAACTTTACGTATGCAATACAGAATTTATCATCCATGAATCGGCCTTAATTTTGGTCCAAAAAAAAAAAAGGGCCTCAATGGCTGCTAAAATATGTGAAGGAACATCTCCAGTATGGAGGTCAAATCCCGAAATTAATAATATCCTTTCCTGTTTGATTTGACACCCCCATACATGCACGTCGTTAGCGGCAGGTGGTCTACTTATGTGGCGGTGCCATTAATTATAATTCTTACGAGATACTATCTCAAACTCGTTTCGTTTTATATATATGGAACTTATTCCTTCCTTGGTCTCGTTTCTTCGAATCATTCAATGCCATGTTCACAAAATCAAGCGATTAATGTCAAAACTGGGAGACATGAATCAAACCAATTGCTGCCTTAATTTACAGCGCGAAATTAGGACCAACCAACAACAAAAAATAAAATTAGCTCCCATCCGCTTTTTCCCTGTAATACGCGCGCGCGCGCGCACAACTTGCACAAGAACAGATCCAGAACAAAAAGATATTATTATATATCTTCTGTACAATATAATTAGCATTAGAATTTTCTTTCCTTAGAGAAAGAAGAAAAAGAAAGAAAAGAAACGGAAGACCACGTATGCATGGATAAGTAAGAAACTAAGACCTGCAATCCGCTAAATACATATAATGGGAGGGGAAAAAAACTGTCTCTGTTTCTCAGCTAGGCATAATATATATATATATATATATATCTCAGGTTGCCCTGCCGAAGTTGATGCTTTGGACAACCCAGAGGGGTCAAAAAAAGACTTGTCTTGTGACCGTGGTGGATTGTTTGAGTAGCCATGACATGGATGCATTGCATGCATAGGTCGGTCAAAGACAACCCAAACCCTTAGCTTCAGACGCTTTCATGACTCTGAGCCTCTTGCAGGAGCTCATGAACATCTGCCATGGAACATCTCCAACAAGCATCCAGTCACCCTCTTTGTCTTCATACGTGGGAACATATTCAGATCCATTGTATCCCTCCCTTTCTGAATATTCACCAAAAGTGCACTTGAACATGTTTTCCAAGGCCTTCAGGAATTGTGTGTAGCTCTTATAAACCTTCACATCTATCTTCCTCAAGTAAGGAGCACCAGCCATGCTGACCTTCACGTAACTTGCACCTTCTTCCTCCTTTTGTTGACCGCTGTTCTTCCTGAAACTTCTCACTGGCGGCCATCCCACTACTTGTGCCCTGCCATTTCCAACACAACTCATAACTATAAGACATCACCTCCAAATACATATACAAACAATTCAGGTTCTCTTACAAATGAAGAATATCACTTACTTTGCTGGTGGCTCGTCGTCTGACTCGTTATGATCACTTTTTGCATCATTCCTCTTGCCTGTTGGTTCCTCCTCACGACTTGTTTCCTCAGGTGAATTTTTCCTTTTGCTTCCAACACTGCAACGTTTCTCTGGCGCGTCGCTTCCTGGTAATCCCAACCTTAGCTCTGTGTCCTTCAGGTTAAGCTCACCCATTGATATTGAACTCTCCATTTTCTCTTTTGATCTTCAATAATAATATCGATCAACTTTAACGCTTCAATTCTGATTTCTTAGAGAGAGAGAGAGAGAGAGAGAGAGAGAGAGAGTTTGAGTTCGAGTTTATAAGGAAAGCGATGGAATGAAGATATGAGGTAGCTTAGCTCAATCCACCCAATTTTATAGTGTCTAGCCACAACAATAGCGAGATAAGACTTGGAGAGACAATAATATCTGGATTCCCCTGTTCTCACTGGGGCACTAATTTAGCATAATAAACCTACTTTCTATTATTGCACGCGCTTCCTCACAAGCCAATTGGGTGGCGACAAGGCATGACTTTTACACGTGGACCCACACGCTCACAGGGTCTGACACGTAGCGCGTGGAGGTGGGGACTTTCCTGGTGGAAGGACACGGAAGAGGAGAATAGAGAGTGTCTAAGACATGGGAGACAAGGGAGGAACAAGGACGGCGAATGGCATTAAAGAACGTGGACCAGGAACGGACGGCCGATATTCTGTTGGTGGAAGTTGCGGAGTGAATCTTGGAGCGTTGGATCACGGGTGTTGCGCGGAGGAACACGAACATGTGAACAGGGAGCATGTCCCACGTGGATTCTATTGATTGGTCGGGCATGACCACGTGGGCGGATGCAATCGAGATACAACTTAATGCGAATCCATATAGTAGCATGACATGTGGGATGGTCAGCTCTAATTTTTATTCAACATATTCTTCTTTAATTTTTATATGAATATACTCACTCAAATTGCTGAATTTTTTTATACCACTATTTTAATTTGAATGTTAACTCTAGATCCGACCTCAGATGAGCAAAACTTTAACAGATGCATGGAACTGATACGAGGTCAATGTGGATCAGTAGGTCAAACAAATGGATGCTCTACACACACACACACACACACACACACACACACACACACACACACGCACGCACGCACACGCATTAATGTATATATGATTCAGTTTCTGCTTTGCATATACATTCGAAATAGCAGCATGTGAAAGATGTCATTCTCAACAGTTTTTGGGGCCCTCTTATGACGCATCGCATTGAGCTAAAAGTTGATTTAGGGTTAAAAGCGATTAAATGCGTGCATGATAATTTAGGACCGCTTGAACCAGTGCGTACTCACGTATTTTTTCGAATTTCAACTACTATATATCAAGTTTGAAGTTTGTATATCTTAGCTATATATGTTGGCTGATATATAAGGCCGTTGTGCCGATCATGAAAAGTTTCGAATAAGGGATTAATTCATTGGATTTATGAGTTGTTTTTGAAAGCTCATTCGATCAAATGCGTGAGAAATTTTTCGACAGTGAAAATGATATAAAAAGGAGTTACACAGTAGATAAAAGAACTCATGGAAATGAATCTCTATCAAAAAGCTCAAGGTGATTAATTACTTAGGGTAGAGGACCAAGTAAAATGACATCAACTTCTTAAAATGGCAGACACAGATATATTAGCTACTAGCTAGTGATTAGGTCATCGATCGGACCACCACTTAAGGAACATGCAATCACACAAGACTCCAAAAACAGCTAAAAAAAAAAAAAGGATGATAGCTGAAGATGTTAGGCATGTGCATTTTTTTGTGCAAGCGTGCCAAGAAGGAAAAAAATAGCCAACGGGGCAAGCTAAAAGCATGACAAGTGAAGCACTGTGTGAAATTATTTACAAAACCAGAGAGACATTATTTCTGTTCTGGACCCAACTTACTCCTCTTGGATCGATGCACCGCACGCACGCACGAAGGCCCATCAACTTTTCTCCCATCAAAATCGAATAACAACTTCACTCATCACTGTTTAATTACCTCTCGCCCTTTCTCTCGACGGAAATGGAGGTTTAGGAGGGAGATGCGTGAAACGATAAGGTACACAGTTTGGATCTATGCGTAACAAATATTGAGAAAAAATGTGATTAAGCAGGCGATGAGAAGCATATAAGTGATCCACGTGCAAGATCAGTGCACACGTGGGATGTGTTTAATGCTGAAGGGTGAGATGTGGGCCTTAAGCCACACGTGGGTGATAGAATTAGAGTGTTCAAAGACGTTAAAGGAGGGAGGGAATGAAGGCCCAAAAGTTGTGTAGGACAAGAGAGGGAGTCCCCACTCCCACGCCCTTGTTGCTTGCTTGTTCCCCCCTTTGTGAGTTGTGATTAATGACTGTTTTTGGCCATCTCTGTATGTATGCTTACCATTTATGAATTCCCATCAATGCACTCTTATTAACATGTATGTATCACGAATAGTCCATACAGCCCCAACACTGTTAATCAAGGACATCTAATCCGACTTGAGTTTTGATTGGATCATATCATCTATTTAAGCTAACTCTCGGTTTGGTCAGGCTCCACTCATTTATATTATCCAATGTCCAAAATCAAATGCATAAGCGCACGCCTCCCCCAAACAAAAAATTGCCCAACCAACTTGGTCAATGTAATCAATCAGTAATACGTATGTGTGCTAAACAAAGTGCCCTTTTGTTTTGAAAATTTACCCGTTAATTTTTTTTCTTTTTCTGTTTTCTTCTTGTGGATTCATCTCCATCTTCTCGTGGGAAAAGAACAAAACTAATTAGGACAGTAAAATAACATGTATTAGGACTGTACAATAACATATATAATCAGGTTGATGTAGAACTGTCTTTGCTCGATAATACTGACTTTGATAATACTCCTGGTTACATGGGTTAGTGAGGGTGTCAATACGACGATAACAAAAAGGTGGCATAATTCTCTGTAGTTGAACGTTGAAGTTGACCATTTCATCCGTGCCATTACTTTGACAAAGAAGGAAGAATGAGAGGGAGTGACCCAAACCCATATTTTCTTGACAGTTTATTGCACACCAAGACGTGTGTGTGTGTGGTCCCCCATTTTCTTATTGTGCGAGGCAATATATTGCTTCCGTTCATGGGCGGTTCTGAGAGATTTATAATACATCTGCAACTTATGCCCCATTCTTCTGCTGCGCCTCTTTTCCTCGGCATCGCACCTTTATTTCACTTTGCTTAAGATCGAGTTGTCAGCAAATTTTGTTCCCATTCCGTTTATTTTCGAACAAAGGACATGCCAGGGAGTAGTCATGCCAGCAAAAAGAATTTTACTTTTACTTTGGTGTAAAAGCCTCAGTCCGTGATGATAATTGGAGATAGTTGACATGGTGGATCTATATATATTCTGCGTGTTTCCAAATATACCGGGTTAATGCATGTGAAATTATGAGGCACACTAAATTTTTTCGTGGCAAAATTGGCCCCTGTCTAGTGCCTGAACTAGTGCCGCACATGTGCAGAGCTGACACGAAGTGAATGCGAAACATTGACAAATTAATAAAACCATGGATCTATATTGGTGCCAAGGGAATTTCGAGGATATGGCGAAGCCAGGGAACCTTTATTTCTGTGTGCACACTTGTGGTAACAACAGAATCGAATTTTCAATTTGTCATGGACCTCCCAAGAGAAACTGATCGCATGTATGTGCGTGGGCGTGAGATCTATCTGTGTGAAGATCCAGGAAAGAAAAGAAGCAATATATATATATATATATATATATAATAGCTAGGTCCCTAGCAATATATGCCCCAATATTAGTCTCTCTAATGTGTTGAGACTAATTCTGATCAGTTTCTGTGTGGAGGGGTTTTTCTGCTGCTACTCCGTAGGTCCTCCCACCCTGTGACCTCTCTATACTTTTATTCATTTTAATATAACAGACCCTCCTCGCTAATCAACCACCGGCCTCCTGTTGGCTTTCTCAATAAAATGGAGATATATATCTCCGATCAATAGTATATCATTGATCAATTATATTACAATCAGAACAAACGGCAAACGAATCATTATTGGTCTATATATAATAATAATGATCACTCACCATTACGTATATACAGTACGGTGTCCGCAGATGAGGTCCCTCTCTCTTTCTTCCTTGAATTTGGCCCCCGTCAAAAACCACTCATTCCAAATACGTACATACGTACTCACAGTGATGGTGTGGCATGATGAGTATAATAATGAAGAGGAATCTGGAGCAAAAGAGCGAAAGATTGGGGATCGATGAAAGAGATAGATAAAAAAAAGAGATGAGTAGAAGCAATGGGGTAAAAGAAAGGAGACTTGTGGGGGTGAGTGGGGTGCCCTCAAGCGGCGCACATGGGATAGGGTTTCACACTTGGGGTTGCATTCCCCCAACAAACTCACATGTCCTCTCTCTTCCTCTTCCCTTTCTAACCCAATATATATGAATCTTACCACATGCCTCCTCCTACACTTGGGCCCCACTCTTCTTTTATATTTCCACTCCTTAATTCTTCATTTTAATTATTGGTCCATGCATCACCAATAATCCAGCTCCTTTACTTGCTTCTGTTTCACTTTGATTTTAATCAAGGCCATTACCTCCTACAAGATTTGGTGCTCCAAACACTGATAAAGCTCGCTTATCTTTAACTTCTAGCACACGGTGAACGAAGATCTTTGACACATGAATCTTTGATCAGTTTCTTTAATTTCTCTTTTTTTTTCCCTCCTACCGCCCAGTTTGGGTGTTGCCAGGGAAACATAATGTAGTGCTGAAGGGGGAGGGCGATTTGCAAGGAGATATATATGAGTGAACGTGGCCAACATGTGTGCGTGCGATTCTCATCGAGCAACATCGCATGAATCAATGCCACAAAATTAAATCTTGAATTCACACCGTAACAAACGAACAGTTGAGTGTGCCCGTCAAATAATTGCACCTCTTCATATCTACTTTTCTTCCCACAATATCCTGTTGTTGCTGAATCTGCTTTTAATTAGCACATAGTATAAGGGTACATATCCCAGCATCACCTTTAAGCTTGTCTACAAACCCACATCTAGTCGTACGCGTAACGTAACCCTTTTAATAGCACTTCTTACTGCCCATCGAGTCCCCTCCTGTTTAATTTCTGATCCCAATCTTTCTTTTTTTCATACAAGGGTTAAAACTCAAACCTTATCAAACCACAGAACGAAAAGAGAAGAAGCATAATGCTTGTGGAATTAGATCATCTTGTCTTAACGAGCAAGCAGCAAGCTTATATATATATATATATATATATATGTTGATGGGTTCGTATTTGTACCGCAGAACATGGATCCGAATTGCATGGTTCTTAAGGGGCGACATGTCCTCGCTTCAGAAAGAACTAACACATTAAGTTTGACAAAAACACCTGTCCATATATTTAGACTTATAGTCGACTATTATATATAGGGACCATTGGATATTCTTTTGTTTATCAGAAGAGAGATATACAGAACAAAAATCCTCTTGTAATCACAGATAAAGAACCGTCACTTTCAGCATTATATGGTTGGTGTGAGCCGAGCGTTATACATGACTCTGATTGACAATTCGAGCAATTAATCCCGCTCGATTCAATTAAGCCTATTAATCTCAAATTCTGAATATGGTAAATAATTATACGTCCCGTGATTAATTATATAATAGCACTTTATGTATGTGCCAAAACAAATTATGAAGTCTATGCTCATTAATTAACACACACAACGCGTAAATTTTTTTTTTTTTTTTGGGGCGGTGGCATCAAGAGTGAAAAACTCTGTTTCGCAAACTCCGAATAATTGCCTTTAATATAACTGCATAGAAAGGATATGTTGGGAACGATCAATTCATGGAATCGGAGTTTTTTTTTTTTTTTGTTCTATCTTTTTTCAAGAGTAACCGTGCACGAGTCCACTTGGGAAGTGAAGTCCTTGAGTTCAGAAATATTATTGATCCCAGGCGTGTGATGGATCCGAGACCAATAATTGACCTTCTCAATTATTTTCGAGTTACAGTGCGCAATCCATACGTACTTCACAAAAAATGGTTTATGACTAATAATAATTGTACAACTAGTCATCGTCTTGGAAAACAGAAATTTCCTGGAAATTTTACACTTGCATTTTAGAAATCATATACCAGCTCCTCAGATCATCGTCAAAATAAAGATACACAAAATCTTCATTTCCTCTTAGAAAATCGTGCTTTCTTTGTATACGAAGAATTCGAAGTTGTGAAAAGGGAACAATACATGATTTGGAATGAGTGGGGAATGGTGAGACTATTTATTTGAGGGCGTGAATTATATTGATGAAACCCTAAGTAGGAGTAATAAAGCAATAAAGAAATAAAAAAATAAATGAAGGGATCGAGAGGGTGATAATTATATAAGCAGCTAACATGGGGTGTCCACTTAGGATCGGCTACCTGTTCCACTGAACAATCATAGGAAGATAACATCAGGTGCCGTCAGCTATCCCAGCAAGCTTGGAAAAGTCCAGCTCACACATTCCGCCACGTGTCGCGAAGCCATTCCTTATCCCCAAAAAATGGAATTACGGAATTCAAGAGGGAAGGGGGGAAGAAAAAGACAAGGGGCACCCCATCTGTTCTTGTATTAATGCCCAATCAAGCCTTGCTTTCACTCCTTCCCGCTATAGTATAGTTATAGTACCCACTCAGCCCTCCCCACCAAAGGCTATTATTATCGCATCACATAGCAACAAAACACTGAATGCTTAGAGAGAGAGTGAGAGGTGTAGAGAGAGAAAGTGTGGTAAAGTGATAAGATCAATGGCCATGGAAGTTATTGGGCTCAAGCAGGAGAAGATGGGGTTCGAGGAAACAGAGCTGAGGCTTGGACTGCCTGGAAATGGAGGCTCGGCTTGTGAAGGAGGAGAAGCTGCGAGGAAGAGAGGGTTTTCTGAGACTGAGGATAATGCCACTGTGGATTTGAAGCTGAATCTCTCCTCTTCCAAAGAGGCTGATCATCCCACCGACAAACCCAAGGAGAAGACCCTCCTGCCCTCCGATCCCACCAAGCCTCCTGCCAAGTATGTTTTCTTCTGCTCCTTTCTCTTCTACACACACACATCACCGGCCGGAAAGGGGGAGGGGGGATAGCCCACTTTCATTTTTGTCGTGTCGTTATTTGATACTCTTGTTCTTGAATTATCTGTTATATGTTTATAATCGCAACATGTAGCGTGTGCATGTAGATTTTAGTTATAAGGTGATTAGTTATCACATGGTTAGGACAAACTGTTAAGCGTTTGTGCTTGTGGCGCCGGGAGGAAGGAGAGGGGGCGTTGTTGGATCGTGGAATAAGATGGATAAGAAATAGTAATAGGGGAAATAATGACTCGTTAATTATTAACGAGGGAGAGATCAGGTATACATATAGACTATACTTTTGCAGAGATTGAATTAAATGGAATGAATTAATGGTATTTTTATCTCATCCGAAAGTCCTAATTAAAACCACTAGCCAGCTAGATTCAACCATTATATTCAAGTACCGTACAACGCGAAAACGGCATACATAAGATCATTTTTTTCTCTCTACGTACGGCGGACTCATTCATTGCGGGAACGATTAACTAGTTTTGCGAGCCAGACAAAGGGGATGCACTTCTCAATCGCTAGCGAGCCATAATCTTCGAACAATTCTATTTCTGCTAGTCTGGAGCACAGTAGTATAGGGTAATTATTTAAGGCATGGTCCTTTTATTGATATCTTCCTCGGTAGACAAGTGAAACTGCAGTGTGGGTAAGATGACAAAAACATATATAGATGAGTCCCACAGATATAAATATATAGTTGTTGCTTGAGGTTGAGGTTGTCAAGAGTTGACCGATAAAATTAATTGAAGGGCTCAAGTGGTGGGATGGCCACCGGTGAGATCGTTCCGGAAGAACATGTTAGCGCCGAAGAAGAACGGAGAAGAGAGTGATCAGAAAAGCAGCCCTAACGGAAGCTTCGTGAAAGTGAGCATGGACGGAGCTCCTTATCTTCGCAAAGTGGACCTGAAGATGTACAAGAGTTATCAAGACCTGTCTGATGCCTTGGGCAACATGTTCAGCTCCTTCACCATTGGTAATTAATTATGATTATCCATAAATATAATGGCCGACTGTATTTAATTTATATAGAGCAATGATAGTGGTGGTGTTGATCAGGGAATTGTGGATCCCAAGGACTGAAGGATTTCATGAATGAGAGTAAGCTGATGGATCTGTTGAACAGCTCCGACTATGTCCCGACCTATGAGGACAAGGATGGCGACTGGATGCTTGTCGGTGACGTCCCTTGGGAGTATGTTCAATATTTTCTTCCTTTCTCTCATCTCTGTATAACTAATTTCTCTGCTCTTTCCCTCTAATTTCTCACTTGAAAAGCAAGCGCGCTTTATCGCAAAGAATTTCGCAATAATGCGTTCCATTATTTTTTCACGAGTCTTTTTCAATCCTGCTTTTTATGCAGACTACTGTGTGTGCGTGCTCTTAGAAAACGATATGTGTGTTTCCGATTAGCCTTTTCAGCTGCAACCCAAAACCGATCTTTTTACTCTTTTCCATCTATCACACAAGCCTCTTTTAGATCCATTATTGCACTACTATAGTGTTATGGTACACTACTACGTACAGGCTTGTAAAATGAATTGTCTTCAAATCGACCTGCAGGATGTTTGTTGAATCCTGTAAGCGCTTGCGTATTATGAAAGGAAAGGAGGCTATTGGGCTTGGTAAGTGAATTTATTCCTTCAGGAAAAATTCATTTTGCTAGCATACATTAATCATGGTTTCATTTTTAAGTCATATATCCTTTCTATTTCATAATGCAATTTCCAATAATTATATAATTAATAAATTTGATTGGGTGGAATTGAATTATTTCAGCACCAAGAGCCGTGGAGAAATGCAAGAACCGAAGCTAGATTAGGCGTGATAACTAAGGGTAAAGCTGCAGCAGACAGATCATGGTGTTTGGATTGTACGTAGTTAATTTCTGTATAATTATGGCTTGTTATCATATGATATTTGGAAACATGTTGAGCAGCGAGATACCCGTCCACCAAGTATTAATTATGAAACACGAACAGTAATGGTTCTTAATTATGTTGCGTGAGACTTGTCTTTCTTATATATTTGCTTGTCTGGTATTACTTGTGAGTGCTTGCTTAATAATAAAGTTTAACAGTGTGCTTGTCGTCTGTTGTAGCTATAAATATAATATAACGTTGGTATGTTTTATTTTGATGGGATTCCTTGTGGGATTATTGCATGATATTCAAAGTGTGTACTGGAAATGTTCCCTCAGCATGTTGAATGGGGGAACAAGATCATGTGCTTGATCATGGTGCATTTATAGGCATGCCCATCTCAGTCGTCTGATCTTTTAATGTTTCATAAGGATATTATTGCTTATTTAATTTGATTTCCATTCTAGAATACTCTGGTCAAACGTTTATTCAATACGCGCGCACGCTAGTGAAAATTATATTTACTCGAACGTTTTCCATAAGGCGATTTTGATTTAAGCGTGGAACTCGCGCCCTTTTGCCACAAGTATATTTACAAAGACATTTAAACTACTGATAAAAAAATTTTGAAGCCAAAATATGTTCTTTAACAAATTTTATTTTGTCATACTAATTAAGGACCGTAGGGAAATTGTGTGAAACTTTATCAAAATTAATTATAGGTAAAAAAGCTGTATATTATTGTTAAACTTATGTGATTAAGGTTTTTAAATTAAATTAATAAAAGGGAATTTTTAATTTAAAAGTAAGTAAATTAAACGTGAGAAAATTCACCTAGCTATTATAATTTAATTAGAAAGCAATACCTTAAATATATAAATGCATGAATTTTTTTCCTTAACTTAAAACTGTTCACTAGCAGCAACAAGCTACCCATAACCTTACCTATTGCATGCTTATTTTTGGCAAAATGGGTATCAACCTACCCTACCTACATAAACCCATTTGCACCCATTTTAAAACAGGTAGAAATGGGTATGGACTAGTACAGGCTAGTCAGAGCTACTCATTTAGCTTGTAGCACTCACTTTCTTAATTAAAAAAAATCATCAAAAACATATGTTTTTCATCCCTTTCCAATTTAATATAAGTAGCATCATTCTAAAAGATTAAACCTATGAATAATACAAGGATCAATAATTTAATGATAAATAAACATAAGTATCAATAATTCCAATTTTCAAACAATCATAATCTTGGTGCATTAGCCTCAACACATCACATCCCATCAAGCCATAATAAATCTAGAAATTCCAAAAGTACCATAACTCCATAAGTAACATCATTCTAAAAGCTTAAACACTGACACCTATCTAACTTCAAATTACAAGTCCAAAATTGAAACTGCATTACAAATAAAGTTAAGAAACACAATAAAATTCAAACATCCAACCACACACACAACATAGAAGATCAAGTGAGGAATCAAGAATGTTTGTCGATCTTTTTTGGATATTCATTAGTCATCAATCCTTATCTTCTTCAGAGTCACTTGATACAACAAAAGATTGAGCTACTAACTCTTCCTCTACAAAATAAATTAAAACAATTAGATCAATAAGTAATAATATATACTATATAAGATGGGGAAAATGCGAAGGAGAATACAAACCAAATAAGTTATTCAAATTACCATCAATAACACCCAAAGTCTTATCAAAATAGTTAACATCAATCTCTTCTAGTAGGGTACATGATATTGATGATAACTAATTCTAAGGGCAAATGAGTGCCTCAACCATTTTTTAAATAAGAAACTCTTGAAAGTATCTAGCATTGAACCCTTAATACTAAAAGTATATTCTGAAGACACTATAGAGATAAACATAGCCAATAAATCATGTGTAATCAAACCCAAGACTTTACTCTTAGAAGAATTCACTTTCTACCTTGACAAAATGTCAAATATATTATCACAAGCATTTACTAACTATGCATTTAGATACTATTCCACCTTTGAAATTGATTTTTTTGGACTCTTACTCACCACAGCGGCTAAGAAATCTTCCATTGCCATATCAATAATTTTTTAAAAGGTGAAGGAAGTTGAACTTACTTCCCCCTACCGTTGGCACTACTATCCCCTACCACTATAATAATTTTAAATGGTTCACCACCACTAATTGTAACTACTACTAAGTACTTATCAAATAAGCAATGCAAGAGCTCTATAATCTTCTTTTTCATCAATTCTTTCTTTGTGTAATTGCCAATAAAATGTTTAAAAGTAACTTTAGCATAAGAAAATTTGTATCTAGAATCAAGAATCATTGCTATCACTAACAATGAATTCATATTTTTTCACCTTTCCTTAGTACTTGTCATACTTACTTTGCATCTTTTCTACATGTCACCTAACAAAGAATTGGATTTACCTATAATTGAATCTAGCTATGTCTTGATTGGAATTATATTTTGAAAGCATGTCTTTAATGTGACTTGATTTGATGCTTAAAGTATGTTTATATTAGTTTTTGGGATAAATATAACAAGTTAGAGACTTGGTCTAGTGGCAGCTAAGCAATCTTTCATATATGAGATCCCAAGTTTCAATCTGAAGAGACCTAAAAAAGAGTTAAATTTTTATTTTTCTGGCTATGCGAAATTACCAAACTACCCTTAGTTCTATCAGATTTTTTTAAAACTCTTTCTTCCTTCTTTCTCAATAAATCTGGAGTAGAGAAAGATCTGGGAAGCACCAACCCTTTACTCTGCCTCTCACTGATCACTATCTTCTTCCTCCTCAACTGAAGCTAGCATTATCATTCGTGTGGTCACCGCCAATGCTATACTCATCCGTTCACCTCAACTGTGATTTCGTTCACGAGTTGCTGCTGTTCGTCCACCTCTGTTGCTGATTCAAGTATGAAAAATCTCTCTTTCTCTTATCTTGTTGTTCGTGTGTGTACAAATAGTCTGGGTGAGCTAAGATCTCTTCTTTTTGGTTCGTTTTCGGTTATGGTAAGCTTATTATTCTTCTTCGTTCATGGCGATAGCGCTTCTTCTTTATTGTTTAAAATCATTCTCCTTCCTTTGTCCGTGCATGTTACTTCATTTAAGGTTAGAAGCTTCAATCTCCTCCTTCTCCTCGTAAAGCTATGCGTGTGAGTGGCTGGGGTAGTATTAAGGTAATTGTAAATTTTTATAGTCTTGCTGCTGTGCGAAAAATGAAAAAACAAAAGGAAAGAAATTCAATGGAGCTTGGAAAAATATATATATATCTTGAGGCCTAACAATGATCTATATATGGTTCAAAATATCCAAGTTAAGATGAATTATTGAGTTAGTTGGTCTAGAATAATTGTTATAATAGATTAAAAGAGAAAGAGCTCAAGTGTAAAACTTGAAATTTGTGCCTATGAGATGGTTGTCATAATGGTTGTAAGAGGAATTAAACTTGATTTTTAGTGTATGAATTTTTTTTTGGTTTTTAAGATTAGAATGAATATTGGTATTATAAGATGTATGGAAGCTGAAGTTTGAAACGAAAGAGTAATCTTAGCTTGGGAAAATATAACTATAAGTGTTCGAAAGAGTATCTAGTAGAAAAAATATGGATATAAAAGGTATGGAATTATGAATGAATTTATACACTTTAAAGAAATGTAATCATGAAATTTTATATTTTTATAGGACGTGTAGAAGAAGAGGATCCTGATAGAAACTAAAGAAAAGAAAAAAATATATATTTTGAAGATTTAAAACTATAACAGGTAAGTGAATAGCATTCCCTTTGATTTATTTTATTGTCGTAGACTTTTATTGAACCATTTTAATTTTTTGGATTACACTAATTTTGAAAGTTATGGAATATAGGTAAAGGACAAATGAATTATTATATGTGAATTTATTTATTATCAAAAAGTGTATTTTCAAGGTTGACGAAAGCACTCTTGCATGTTATTAAGTTTTGAAATGTATTGACTACTCAAGTACTGTAAGTTTGGCATAATGGCTATAAAGTATGGTTTTCACAAAATTTGAGATTTGAACCAACTCATGCAAGTTCGGCATTGAGAATGAAAATTTTATTATAGCAATAATTATTTTTTTCACATGTTTGAAACATGATTTTAAGAGAACTCTAATTAGAACACTATTGCTAATAGCAGTTTCATTAGCCCGTAATGTGCTGTAATTAAACACTAGCTAGTTTATTTCATGAGCTTTGCCCTCATGTTTGGTATTCATGGGCTTTACACTCACGTTTGATTCATTAGCCTGAACTGTGTTTGGTTATTTACCCTCGTAGATTGTGTATCTATATTTGTTTCGTAGCTTTGATTGCATTTGGTTACTTACCCTCGTAGACTGGTGTGTCCATGTTTGTTTTCATGATATAAGCCACGTTTGGTTATTTACCCTCAAGGACTATGTGTCCACGTTTATTTTGTAGCTTTGGCTGTGTTTGGTTATTTGCCCTCATGGACTGGTGTGTCCGCATTTGTTTTCATGGCATAAGCCAGTTTGGTTATTTACCCCTGTGAACTGTGTGTTCATGTTTGTAACTTGTTCTGTTGAGTTCTTAAAATTTTACATGTTGATTAAAGTATTTTTCAAACTTACATGATTTTGGCTAACAATTTTATCACTTTAAATTTTATGTGATTAAATTGTTTCCTTAAGCATTATAGCATAAATTGTTTTCAACTTATTCTTATTTTATAATTAAGATTATGACTTACAGGTTTGTAAAATTTTAAGGGATTATTTTAATTAGTTGGCACCATTATTAGAGTTGTTGATTTTAAAATTTTAAGGATTTTACTATGGGAATGCTATTCACTGAAAAACTTATTTTGGTCTTAGATTTGTTAGCTGACACTGATTCTCCTTGACCTCTAAAGGGCAACCTAGCTACAGTGGGTGAAAACTTTTGATTGGTACTATTGCTTTTAATGTAAATATATAATTTATATGTCTTTTTAATTTAAAAGATAGAGTAGATGCTCCATATAAATTGTTGGTAGACTTTATTTTGGTTTGTACATTGGTTACTGGCTGGAAAGACCTATGCTCCTTATTTATACCACTATCTGTAGAAATTTTTATTATAAAATTTTTGGAAGATCCTAATTATAGGGGAGGTTCTGCCGAAATTTT